TGCGGGGTTACGGTGACACGACACGGTGGGTGGGCGGACGACATCAGCAGTGCGGCGGGTGGCGGGAGGAAGAGGACGCACGATGGAGGAAAGGAATGAACATCTGGAGGTGGAGATGCAAATTTGCATCTCGAGGTGTTGTATTTTACATCACTTGGGCGAGATGATGTAATTTTTTTTACATCTACATCATCTTTTGATGCTCTAAAGGCACAAGACATGATCTTACTGATATAGTACGGTGGCAGAGCACTTTTGTCCGGTGAGACATCCCTCGTGATCTGTTTATAAATTGGCTCATAAGCATAAGATAATTTGCTTTTTTTATTTAATTAAGCATTAATTACAGCATTAAGCGTTGCATGCAGTAAATTGGGTTGTTAATTATTTTTTTCGTAACAGAGGCAAAAAAATTGCCTCGTCGATTAATTAAGAAGAAGAGAATTGCCCGGTTAATGTACGGAAAACCAGGCTAAAACCGATACAATCAGACCATAATTGGGTTACTCATCAATCATGACCCCACAAGCACTCGTGCAACCCGCCAAACCCTCCTAACACGCAATAACTCCTCACGCTTGTACACCACAATTTTGAACCCGACAAGAACATCCCAACAAAAGATAGTGGACCACGCCGAAACCACATATGACGACCCAAACCATGAGGATGAGCCGAGGGACCGGGAATCATCCATTAAGCAGTTGCGGGCGTGGCACCACTCTTTTTGCCTTTGCACCTTGGTGGCTTCTCCTTCACTATACCAGACCGAGGGCAATCACTCGCCTTCTTGTATTTGCCCTTGTATGTCGTTCCCGTCAGGAGGCAAGCAATCGCCCTTCCAGTTCCAGGGCTAACAGTCTCCATGCTAGTGAGCAAGTCACAAAGCTCTTTTGCAAAGAAAGCATTGGAATTATCCGTCGGCGGGGGTGGAATGGGTGCAGAAGCCACATGTGAGTGCGCAGCCGAGTTCACCTCACTCAACTCACATGTCAAGGTTGAATCATGTCCCTCACACGTGGTTGCTTGCGTGTCCACCATCATATGCTCTATTGATAGAGGTGAATCAGAGCTCGCACATAACACTTGAAGCTCGGGCATCACCTGCAGCACCGGAGGCACAACCACGGGAATGCTCCCGCCCTCAACGGTAGACATCACAGTGGGCAAGGCAGACGGCGATGATGAGTTGTCCATAACTCTAGGGGAGAAACAACCATAGAGCTCCCCAACTCTGTTCTCCACTGAGCCACCAACATCAACCTCGCTAGGAGGATGTGGCGTAGGAGCAGATTGCAACACAACCGACACAAGAGAGAGCTTTCCCAGAGCAGCCTCCGCTCGCTCCAGAAACCTCCCAACGCGCACCAGGAGTTCAGCCTGGGCAGCTAGAGTGGACTGTAGCAGCACATCAGATGGGGTTGCCGACTCAGCGTGAGCGGAAACGACCGATGCCCAGGACCTGCGGTGAAGCACCTTGGAGGGGAGCTGGGATACCATCGGACCATCACAAGGAGTTGGAGCTCGGTAATGCTCGGTGTCGAGGCGAGACCGTGGCGGCATGGGAAGGCATGCAAGTGAGCTGAATGGACGCCAAGCATTGCGACACCCACGCGCCCAGTGGTCGTTCTCCAAACAGCGGCAGCACCTCAAGGGATCTGTGCAATCAGCGGCTCGATGACCAGGAGCAAGGCATCTGCAACACCTACCAAAGAGCCAAGCCGGAATGGGACGAGGGGGTAATGCCGGAGTTGGCAACTCCAGTCGGCGCAGGCCACGCCGAGGCAGCACATCTTGCCATCCTCCAGTCGCCTCCCTCTCGGGCATCACACACTGATCAGCATGCTGAGCTGCCGGGACAGAGCTTTTGGCAGCCGATGGCGTCAATGGGGCCAACTCCTCCTCTTCCTTATCGTCAACATTCTCGTCACCAAGGGAAGCCCAGGACACATGCCGCCCCATGCCTAAGTCGGCCGGGGACGCGTCGGCGGGCGCTGTCGGGGACGAGTCGAAGATGAGCGCTGCTGGAGACGAAGCGGGAACGGAGGGCTCTGTCGAAGCCGAAGATGTCGTCGCCTCCTCCCCGAGGAGCGTACGTGCCACCCTTCACCCTTGGACGGTTGGGTCGGCGCGGCGGGAGGCCAGGATGGCCGCGGCGAGAGCTGACGCGGGAGCTGGAGCGGGAGGCGGCGGGCAGCCGGCACTCAGCACGGCAGGAGTGGCCGCCGCCGTCGTGACCGACGCGGATGCGGGCCGAGGTCGTGGGTCGGGGCGGCGAGAGGCGAGGGCGGTCGCGGGAACTGGAGCAGCGGGCGGCGAGGAGCCGGCGCTCGGCACGGCCGGAGTGGCCGCCGCTGTCGCGGTCGACGCAGGCGCGGGTTGAGGTCGTGGATGAGCACCCATGGCGTCACCCCGCGAGGAGAAGCACGTAGGCTGCAAGAGGGCGTCGAGAGGATGCCGGATCTGGACCGGGCAGGTGCAGGGGAGGCCGAAGAAGAGAGATCAGGACGGCGGCGCCGCCGGCGCAGGCGGGCTCTGGCTCGCGAGAGCCATGTGCGCTCCGGCTCTCTCCTTTTGATTTCAATTCGGCTGTTAATTATTGACTATACAACGTAGTGGCAAGGGGCGTTGCATGGTTGCAGCATGCTGTGCTACACACTCGCAAACATGCATAGAAACGCCCTCCACACCCCCGAGCCACCACAGGCCAGAAAATTATGGGAGCTTAGTAACTAGATAGATATTGGCGTTCAACTAGAACAGGAATCATGGGAAAAGGGAAAGAAAAAGAGAGAAAGAGATCGCGGCTAGGATTCTAGGTTCTTCACAAAAACGGTGAGGATGGCTTGTGAACTGAGACAGTGGCAGAAAACATGGAAGCGCGCGGTCATACATGCTGCCTTAATAAAAATTATTAAAATGACTCGAGGACACAAGCCCCCAATGGAGGAAAGAACGCATCAGGTATGCACATAAACTAGTCTGATCTAATCTGAAAGCCCGCCACACTGGGATCTTTGAATACCAACGTATACACACCGACCCCGGCCCCTGTTTATTCATTCAACGGCAATGAAAAACTCAATCTTTCAACGGTATGTACGCCACCAATCTCACAAAAAAAAATAAGCAATCTACAGGAGACCGAAAGCAAAGTCGGCAACAGATTTCAACAGAAACAAATCCATATTCTTCGACGCTGCGTGCTCCGTGCGCGCGCATGCGCATGAGCCGCTTCTTCCTCGAAGATCACATGGCGCCATGGCGGGTACTCTACGTACGTACGTCGACAGTGACGAGTCCGCGGCATCTCATTTTCAATCCTCGTCGCGCATTTGATTCCTGATCGACCCGCTAATTAATGCGGTATGTGCCGCGCGTTGACGTTTGGTGGTGCTCCGATGCGACCGTCCGAGAGTGGACGGCGCACCGAGACCGATGATCGAATCCCGCCGCTTTCAGACTCGCCGGACGATCGCCTTCTCCTCCTCCGGCTCCTCCTCGCTGTCGCCGTCGACCCTGCCGCCGAGGCAGTCGAACCGCACGCTCCCCTTGTTGTTGGCCGAGCCCACGGACCCGTCCGACGTCTTCTCACGAACGGTTCTTGGCAGCGGCGGCGCCGTCGGAGTCGTAGGGGCGGGCGCTCCCACCGCCTCCGCGTCCGGCGCCCTCCTCGAGGCCGCCCAGAACGGCACCCTAGAGGAGAATGTCCTGGCGATGAACGACGGCCAGCGGTCGGACCGGCCGATCCGCGCGCTCCGTGCGCCGGCGTCCCGCGCCACCGTGCGGCGCAGGCTCTCCTCGCCCGCGGCTACCATGTCCCTGCGCACGTGCTCCGGGAGGCGCAGCGTGAACCGCTCCAGGTCGCCGTCGAACCGCGCAGAGAGGGAGTGGCCCGTCGAGTGCGCGCGCGAGAACGGCCGCCCCGACCGCGACCGCACGGCGCGGCGCAGGCTCCCGATCCGCTCCAGCTCCGCCGCCTCTCTCATCCTCTCCTCCTGCGCCTCGCCATCGCCATCGCGGTTCATGTCGATGGCCACCTCCGGCGCCCGCTGCTCCTCCCCGCCAGCGCCGTCCGCTTCGGCCGCGGCCGGGGCCGGCTCCTCGGGGGCGAGGCTGCAGCGGCAGACGGGGCAGGTGACGTGGCCGGCGAGCCACTCCCCGATGCAGTCCGGGTGGAACGCGTGGCTGCACTTGGGGAGGAGGCGGAGCTGGTCCCCGTCCTCAAACTCGCTGAGGCAGACGGCGCACTCGAGCACGGTCGTGTCGTCGTCGCCCTTGCCTCCTGCGTCCTTGTCCCGGAGCGCCCTCGCCTCGGCGTAGGTCATGGCGGGGAACGAGGCGACCACCTCCGGGTCGAGCCCGCGCGGCCGAGCCTGCTGCTGCTGCTGCTGCTCCTGCTGGCGCGACAGCACGAGGAACGCGGCGGCCGGGATGGTGGGGGAGTTGCCGCGGCCGCACTGGCGGATGTAGATGGAGAAGAAGCCGATGAAGAAGAAGGTGGCGATGAGCGCGACGAGGAGCACCACCATGGGCGCGCTGAAGCTGGGCGGCTTCCTCGCGCCGTACACGACCCCTCTCCCGCCGTCGCCCTTCTTGTCCCACGCGTCCTCGTCGTCCGCCTGCGCGACCGCGCCGGCCGCGAGGACGAGCGCCGCGAGCAGCAGCGCATGGCGGCGAGGCTTCGGCGTCGGCGTCGGCATCGTCGGCGCGTCTCTCGGTGCCGCGGGAGCGCGCTGGCGTATAAAAACGAACTTGGCGAGGGAAGCAAAGCTATAGAGCGAGGCGTGCGTGGCTAGTTTACTATACTTTGCAACCGGACCGGGGGCCAGTTCTTTTGGGCAATTCTC